TTCTCGTCTTTGAATATCATCTTGTTGTTCCTTGATCGAGGGAGGCTCTGGTCGCACATATCGAAGCCATTGGTGCCATTGAGCTGTCGCGCCATGTGTCAGACCTAGCCAGCGAACATTGAGGAAGGCACAGACTCACGGCTCAGTTCGAGATCGCTATAGTGAGTTCTTGGGCGAGGTTTGACTATTCGTCGAAAGCGCCCTGAGTTCAACGTATCCTTGAATTCCCAGAATGTATTTCCAGAGAGATCGTGGCCTAGTAGGCAGCTTTGTTAGAAGGTGAGAAGGTGAGACGGACGAGTCTCGAACATACCAACGAGAAAGGATCTTCGCCAGGGCAATCGAAGGCTTTTCCACTTGAACCAGAGACTGTTAATTGGACTCATCTGTTTGCAAGAGAAGAGAGAACCTAATAAATGTGAGGAATTGTGATTGGCAATCTATATTGATGTCTCAGAACTGGAGGAGTTCGTGAAAGTTGAATTTCTGGGCTGCGCCGCAGAGGGGCACGTCATCGCTTACCCATACTCATACCATACCGTAAATAACGAGCCCAACAGGCATTCCCCCGGCCTCCTTCGACGACCTTCTTCTCCTCTCCCTGTAGATCGATAGTATTTCTCTCTCTTCAAGAGCTCCCTTTTTCCAGTTCCCAACCGGCTTGCTTCTGTACTACTGTTGCTTGACCTGCGTCGGGCGTCGTTCACTTAATCCTAACCCTTCTACGTCACTCCGAGTCCCAGCCGCCCTTGTCAACAAAGCCCCGACTAGTATACCCCTCCCTTCAATCCTCGATACAGCTACCTGTTGTTCTCCGGACTTTAGTACTCTTTCTATGCGCAAATAACACTGATCGATCCCATCACTCATTCATTGCAAATGGCCTCGGTCACGTCCTTGGATAAGGACTTGCGCAACCTGCGCCTCTCCCGCTATACCCCGCAAGCTGCCGCCGAAGTCCGTTCTTGGATAGAAGAAGTTCTGCGCGAAAGGTTACCGAGTGGTGATCTCTTGGACGTACTAAAAGATGGTGTCGCACTCTGCCGGTAAATCGGTGTCTTGCGTTTCTAAATTGGTTTCCCATGCGCCCATGCTAACATTTGCGTGATTATAGCCTTCTCAACCTTGCGGTTTCTCCTGGAGTCAAGTTTAAGCAGTCATCGATGCCTTTCGTCCAGATGGAAAACATATCGCATTTTCTTCGCGCTTGCCAGCTACCTCCCCTCAGCCTCCCACCTCACGACGTCTTCCTTACAGTCGATCTTTACGAAGCCAAGGATCCCGCTCAAGTTCTCCAGTGTATCTCGGCTTTCAGTCGAAGAGCGAATGCCATTCAACCGGGCAAATTCCCTCGTGCGATTGGCGTCCAGTCTAAAGGTGGAACCTTGAGTCCGTCCTTGACCGGCTCCAGCCAAGGTCCGCATACACCGACCAGATCCCTCGGACTGGGTGATGCCAACTCTAGCCCCTCCGGTCGCTCAAGCCCTACAAAGTCTCCTCCGGCATTCAGCAGCTGGAGTAGGAGAACTGACGAACATGTAACGCAGCCAGCCTGGAATATCCATCAGTATGGTTACATGGGTGGTGCTAGTCAAGGAAACCAAGGTGTCGCATTTGGCGCTCGCCGACAAATCACTACCGCTTCTCCACACGTGCCAAGTATAACAGAGAAGGAGAACCGCCGGCGCGAAGAAGAGGAGAGGCTTCGGCGAGAGCGGGAAGAAGCCGAACGAGTTTATCAACTCGAACGCGAAGCGAACGAAGCGCGATCTAGACAGGAAGAAGAGCGCCGATGGGCGGAGGAGACTACGCGTCTGAGAGAAAAAGAACGAAAAGACGCTGAGGCTGAGCGAAGACGATGGAATGAAGAACAGCGACGGTGGGAGGAGGAGGAGGAGCAACGCCAGCGCGAGGAGAAGGAGGCAGAAGAGAGGTTTGAGAAGGAAAGATTGCGCCGACGAGAAGCCAACGACTCCCGCCTGAACGGCCAGTTCCTCAGCCAGTACCAAGCCAGTCAGCCCGCGCCTGCACAGCCCCAGCCGAGTGAATCTCAGGAAAGCCAGCGCGTCAAACAATTAGAGCGAGAGTTAGAGCTTGCAAAGGAGAGGGAACGCGAGTATGAACTCGAACGTCAAACGTTGAAAGAGAAAGAGAGCAAGCCCGCCGAGACCAGGAACCGTCCAGTTCCAGTGCCGCCTAAGCCAAGCTATGATCTATCGTCACTCGAGCAGGAACGACGGCTCCTACGCGGACAATGGCAGAAGCATCAAGACAACGAGCCAGTGTCCGAAGTAGAGACACCGCCGCCTATGCCACCTCGACCCCTCCCTCTCCCTGACCCTACCGCCGTCCACCCACCGAAACCTCAGGCATCTGAAAGTCGGGTCGATCGTTTCCTATCATCAAACCCGGCTCCAGTGGCTCCGAAGCCCGCCGCTTATCGCCCACAAGACTTCACCTCTACAGCAGAAGTAGACGCTGAGAACAGTCGCCGGTTTGCATCACAGCAAAAGACTCGTGCAGGAGGATGGGCATCCAAGTCTCTCTTAGAGCGCGAGATGGAGCGCGAGCGCGAACGTCAAAGGGAATGGGAAGAGAACCAGAAGCAGACCCAGGAGGCTGCGGCAAGGGGCGCCCATGACCCGTCACTCACCATGGGGCCTGGAGGTGCCTGGGACGTACATCAGTACGGCTATATGGGCGGGGATAACCAGAACAGAGGCGGGCCTGGGTTAGGCGTTGGAGGCGCACGGCGCCAGATTATCGGCCCTCGGCCACCACGGTGAACGCCAACCTTGGTTGGTTATGCGTTCTATTTGTTCTTGTTTCATTCCTTTAGAGATCGAGTTATCCCCATGCACATACTCCCCATCCTGCGACTCATTGTTACCATTACCTCCCAAATTCCTGTCCCGTTCTCTTCCCTCAATTTGAAATTTCGAATACCATTAATCATCTGTAAATGAGTACTTTCTTTCTGGTCACAATTTTCGTAAAGATTCTATCCCGAAGTACTGCGCACAAGCATGGGTATCTATAAACACAGGGCATACATGATATGAGCATCACCTTTTTATGCAGCACAGAAAAATGCACACCAAAGACGCAGAAATAAAACAACTGAAATCAACGAAAAACATATCCTTCTGCAGTAGTTAGGACCCTGAAGAAGCCGTATCCCCCGTAATAACCTCGTCCACTAGAAATGTCAACCGCTCCGCACTCTCACACAGCCAGCTCCACTCCATATCCTCAGACATTCTAGCAAGCTGATTCTTCCTGGTCTCATACTGTGCCTTTTCAGCACGCCGGATAATCCCCGTCTGCGTGAGCCGCTTAGTGTCGTCCGTGACAACAAGCAGGTTGTCCTCGGCTAGCAGGACAATGAGCGCTTCGAGCGTGATCGACATCTTTGTATTATCGGAGAGGCTCGGTGTCGCCGTGGCGTAGGGGAGAAAGCACGTTTCGAGTTTGGCCTGGTCGAGGTACGGTTTCTCGGATTGTGGCGCGGCGGTTTCGCGGAGGCGGAAGAGAAGGAGTTCACAGAGGGTTGTTTGCGCGGCTGGGGTGAAGTGCGGGAGAGCGAACGGGGAGACGAAGGACTGGTAAATGGGGAGAGGAAGGGGCCGGATGAATTCGACGAAAAGGTGGTAGAGGTCTTGGAGCTCCATTAGGTGATTGGGGAGGGCTTCAGAGACGGTAGAAAGAAGCTGGAGGAGGCGTTGGCGGAGGGCGAGGGAGGTGGTGTCGCCAAGGGCGGCAGTTGGAAGTATTGGATTTGTTAGAGAGTCGATGTTCGATTTAGGTTTGCCCGTAGCGGATTTTCTAGTTGCTGCTCTGGACCTGCGAGGGCGTTTGGACTCACGGCCGCCTGTAGATGATGATGCATCATTGTCGGAGGAGAGGTAAAAGTCGGCGTATTCGTCTGCTTCAATATCAACTACAGCCTCTCTTTTCTTGTTTTCCTTTTCTTTAGGAGTTTTCTTCCGCGAAAGCTTCACCTCGTTGTGAAACACTTCGCGGAATTCGTTCACAAAGTGGGTTGTCCCATCGGCGAAAATCGAGCGTAGGATGCGACGATTGCGGCCAAACCCAGCCATTGAGTTATTGATATAGTGAACGATCAGGCTATCTTCCAATCCTTCTCCATCTTTGGTTGTTTTAGACGGCTCGTTTTCCTTTCTTCGTAGCCGCTCGCTCCAGTCATCCTCGAGGATTTCGCACATAAACTCAAGCCAGACACGCCATCGCTCCCAGCGAACGGGTTGTAAAACCGAGCAATTGAAAGCCCAGCCAACAGCATGCCAGAAGTCTTCCGCACGCGACCAAACTGAGGCAGACTGCGCAATATCAATATCAATATCCCGGTCGAGGTTCAGAGGTTTTCGCCATTCACTGAGGGCGGAATCATCTGCAAGGCGACGGCCACCGCGACGCGAGGTCTCAAAGTGTGTGAATAGAAATGCAGTATTGAATTGGGCGTTGGAAGGGCCAACAAGACTGTTCACCAGACGGAGCAGACGGAGAGATACATTGGGGGCCTCTTCCTCCTCGGTGGTTTTAGGGCGGGCCGTCGTGGAGGGATGAACGAGAAATGTGGCAGCGAGGGCTAGATGTTGCGAAGACGGAATGTATGTAGGAGTTGACGCGTCAGGGTGGGCGCTGAGGGAGTCCAGCAGCAGACTGAGCGCTTGTGTATCTGGTTTAATTAGTAGAGAGCGACACGGCATCGCGACGCGTAGGAGGGGGCACAAACGGAGCTTTTCCTCAAAGAAAATGGCCACATGCTGGACAAGTTCAAAGGGGAGGGGCTTGGCGGGGTGATAGAGAGGCAGAGACGCCTCTTCAATCGGAACGGCCATGGAAGGGTCGGATATGAAGAACAATTGGGCTGTCAGAGTGAAGCTGTGGGGGGGGACGAAGGAAAATGCTGTCCAGGTTATAGGAAGGATAGCTTTAGCCATATAAAGCAAAATATCTTGATTCTGAGCACATATCAAGGTGCTATAGTGTAGTGGTTATCATAGTTCGTTGTGGCCGAACTGACCTGGGTTCGATTCCCAGTAGCGCCAAATATCAGCGGGTATTCTCATCTTATCTACGTGTATAGATAACATTTCTATCTCTTTTACTTTTTTTGCAAAGTGGCTGGGCCGTTTCAAGTCTGTTTTGGCATCTTTATCCAATTCTTTCTTTTACCATTCGCCCTTTACTCCTCTTTTCTCACCAGTACGCCATTAAAGTTGTCAGTAAGCCCGCCTTCAATTAGATCATGGTGAGACTGCGGAGTAACCAAGTCTACAGAGTAATTGCATGGTGCAGGTCAGCCTGTGATACACCAACGGACAGCGCATACACACGTTTAGTACAATATAAGCAGCATTGGAACTCATCCTGAAAAGAATATTGGGATATCTGCCTAGTGGAATATGTCGCCTTTATAAGCCCCCGCCCAGACACCTTCTATCCCCAAATTATTTTTTGTACCGTCTTATCCTTTTAATTTCGTTTGGTGTCGCCAGGAGTAGGTGCCTATTCTTAGACCAATACTGCCTGTTTTGTCTAGAGACAAATGCCTCCCAGCTCGGGTCATAAAAAGAGAATGACTCCACGCAAATTGGCCCACGGTATGGCTCCCGAACAGGTCGTAGGTATTAGAGGTATGGCAAGAGTGTGTGGAGGGTAAGGTGAGGGAATAAAAACAGAATGAAAAGGGTACAGAACGGAAATGTGATATAAAAGCAAGATGTGTGGAAGAGAGCAAAAGAAAGAAAAATTAGGAAAGAGAGAGAGAGAAAAGGAAAGTCCCATCCGTCACTCTTCAGGTATATCAGAAAAAAGACCTATTCGCAATCGGTGTGACTGTCATACATGTTAGCCAATCTTGAGCCGGCGGCTGTCAGATCCGATTCAGGGAACACGTACAAAGGGTAACTTAGGAATGACCACTCCCAATGTAGCTAGGAAATTTATGGTAAAGTACGTCAAGTCGTAGTGGGTATAGTGTGTGCTGAGAAGGAAGAGGCAGATTGGCACGCAGAGAAGAAACTTCTTCGCTGGGGTATATTGGTCGCCGTTGTCGATTTGCTCCCACATGTTGAGGTTATCGTATGCACCGGCGTTGAACTCAAAGGGAATACCCCTCACCCAATGGAACATGAGAAACGAGCCGAACATATAACTGATGTTGGTAAGGGTCCATGATGTCTCCTGCGAAACGCCGGGGATGATGTCGTAGAAGATCTTCAGAGCCGCGATCAAAACGAAGTGGATGGTCCAGGCACCTGTAGTTGAAGGGAAATTCGTCAGACTTATGATCTTCCATTCCGGCGAGCGAGTAGACAGAAAGGCCCAATAGCAATGCATGAACAGCCCACGGCAGTTCAACTCACCCTTCGCATTCACCCAGTTTGCATTCAGATTCGGGAGGGCGGCCTGGTCGCTGGTGTGCTCGATGGACTCGGCAGGCTCCTGATAAATGATACTGCTCGATCTTCTCCGCCTGCCGGCCTTGCTCTGAGACATATTGTGGTCCGGTGCCAGCCGGTGCGGCCCTGTGTCAACCTCCGGTGGGAAGGAGATGGCACGGGGCATTAATAGAGAAGACACTTTGGCGGTATTGATGAGGGAGGAAAGATGGGGTACGTAGAGGGAGTGGGAGAGAAAAGAGGAGGAAAGAGAAAAGGGAAAGTTTCAAAAAAGACCGAGGATGACGAAGTAGGTCGTGGACAGTCGAATGATAATTAATGATACCTCGCAAGCAGCAACAACAAGCAGCAAGTAACAATAGCGGCACGGAGGCGGAGGGAAATGGGATGTTCCGACCGATCGGCTTGTCACGGGATGGCAACAGATATAGAGGTTGCAACTTTTGTTCGAGCTGTTCTGTCCAAATTCCAGATCAACTCTGAGGTCTTTGCTGAATGTTGTTGAAAAGGTCTCTATTGCTGTCCAGAAGAAATAACCGAACAAAAATATTTCGCTAAAGATGAAAAGGAGGAGGAATCATATGGATGGGACGTGTCTAATAATAGGTAGCCACCAAGATTGAGTGCGAAGGCGAGCCGCGAACTAGATGGACGGAGCGCTGCGACGTGTTCTAGGCCCAGCCAAATCAATATTACTGATGAAGCTCCTGGTTTTCGAGAAATACTATCCAAAGAATCCACTAAGATCCATCTTCTGCAACTGATAAAGGCCGGCTATAAGATCACGCACCTATCCGGTTGTTCGGGAAGAGCTACCTAGGTACCTTGTGCTCCAGGCCTCGAGTATATATTTATATGTAGCTGCCCATATAGCGGGGGCTCCGCCTATAAAAATTGACAGCTCACCTTTGATAACTTGTCCTTATATTTTCCACAGCAGATAGATATCTGTCTGATCAACCATAATAGCTCATTGAATTGGACAAAAATCTTCCACATACGTATACGTACGGAGTATGGTCAAAAGAAGCCTCATCGTGATGACGTAAAATGCGGCCAACACTCCTGGAACAATGCCTCACTCTGAACACCTGCACTAACCATCTATCTTTGGATTTACACTTTGCGCTCAACCTAGGCCTAGAACCTTTTCTTACATTACTTTTGATAGCATAATCTAAGCTAGAAAGAAGCTCCGACGAACAATTTCACCGACTCAGCCTCGATGCGCCTCCTCGAATCATCCCTCCGCATCATCACATCATCCCTCATTCGGTTCCCCGCCGCCCGTCCCCAGCTCGTCCCCCACCCGCCAGCTATAAGAACAGCCCTCAGATCCGCCCCGGCCATCCCTTTCCTAAGCTCCTTCTTCAGCTCGAGTGCGAAATCTGACAAACAAAGCGAAATGGCTCCGCCCCCGGATAACAGGAGCGAAGATGAGTGGCGCGCAGTGTTGAGTCCTGGTATGTCAACTCCTACGACAGGGCTGTTGGTCGCTGAGGTTGAGAAAACCAACGCTAACGTTGATGTAGAACAATTCCGCATTCTCCGCCAAAAAGGTACCGAGCGGCCCGGCACAGGCGAATACGACTCCCATTACCCCCCCGAGGGCGTATACGCCTGCGTTGGCTGCAGCGCACCCTTATACAAAGCGACCCACAAGTTCAAATCGGGCTGTGGATGGCCGGCTTACTTTGATTCTATCCCGGGGGCGGTCGCGCGACATGTGGATAACTCGTTTGGCATGGAAAGGACGGAGATTACTTGTACGAACTGTGGGGGGCACTTGGGGCATGTCTTCAAGGGAGAGGGGTACCCGAACCCGACGGATGAGCGGCACTGTGTGAATAGTATCAGTTTGAAGTTTACAGAGGGGCATGGAGAGAACGCGAAAGCCAAGGCCTGATGGTGATTATAGTATGATAAGAGTTGCTTATAGCTAACGGAGTATATATCTACATTGGTTGCGGTTGGCTTCCATACGAAATAATGCGGACCATATGCTGTCGTTATCCATCCTTGAAATCGGGGACTGGTGAATGAGCGACGGTTCTCTGTAACAAGTATCAGCTTGGAGCCATTGATTCAGACAAGGAGCTGTGCCTACCTGATCCTAAACAATAACCGTCCCTTCCTCCCAAGACACTCGACATGAAAAGTCCAGTGACCGGATATGATCATGGAGAAAACCCAGCAGCAAATAGGACTCACTCGGTTTATATCCAACGACTCGCCGGGCAATAGTTGGATTGACGAACAGCACCGGCGCCTTCGTCACGGAATGCGATATCACAAGCGGGTGCTCTGTCTTGACGGCTTCCTCGAGGGCTCGCTCTTGACCGACCCTGGCAACCTCCCTGACACTAGCACTCGTATGAAGAAGCTTCAATTTGTGGAGACCCTCACGAAACGTTGGTTAGAGGGCGTTGTATGCTGCTGTTAACGAGGTGAACGCTGTGCCCCCTCCGCCTGATGCGGGAATTTCGAGTACCCAGAAGAAGGTAACGCCGGGCGTGTTAGGAGCGAAAGTCTGATCAAGTGCCATAGATCATAGCTGGTTTGTGAGCCCAAGAGATCTCTCAGATTTCCTCTGCGAACATTGTTAGCACGGAGTCATCATAGAATGCAGGCCCTCACTTACACCTTCTCGTCTGCATATACCACTTGAAAATCTGGCCCAGTGCCCTTGGGATAACCCATAGTCGGGTGCTAGAAATGTGGTCAATCGCGAAGCCTACAGTTGTCTGGTAGTTGCGCTGTACCTTGTGCGGAGGGCCGAAATGTTTGGCGATATCCAGTTGCGCTTCTGGCCCAACGTCGGCAAAGTCTTGATTCCTCTACGCAACATCAATAAGCTAAAATTCACCATATGAAAATGACTGGTGCTCACAAAGACAAGGACACCACGTTGGGTGGCTAGGAGCGCTACCTGGTCCAGCCCGTCCTGTGTGAGCTGGCTAAGGTGAGGGTTGCGAATTTCAGCTCCAACCCGCGGAGTGATGTTTTCCAAAACTGCCCTTCAATCGAGAATCTCAGGCAGCTGGGGATTTGCTCGCGATCCGGGTTCATCAGCATCAAAAGCCGGTATATCGAGCGTGGGCGCAAAGCCCTTAGGCCTCTCAGGTAGATAGGTGGGGTATAACGGTTCGGTAGCCAGAGGGGGCTTCCCTGGGAAGATCTGGGATGCTGCTTCTCACCAGATGGGGAAAAACTTAACCAAGTGTATAAATGCCACTACTTGCCAAGACCTCTGCTCTAAAGCTTCCATCGGTCCACGCCTCTTCAGGAATTTTTTCTCGGCTGAGCTCCGGCAAAATCCCTGTGGTTCGACTGCAGCACAAGTCATAACGACCCGTCATTCTACATGTCATCAGTCGGTTTCGAAGATCGTTGTTGAAGTCTTGGAGAACTTAAGTGGCCGTCACAGTTCATCGCAAGCACGCAATCTATGCCATCCCGAAAGACAGCAACGAAGATAACCACACTGATAATGGATATAAAATCTTCTGTTACCCGTATCTGGAGCCTTTATCGTCTTAGACCAATCAACTTTTAAACAACCATCAAGAATTTTACTGTGCAAGATACAATTATGAGATCCACGAGGGTATTGAAATGGGTCGAGGAGAATCCAGAGCGGACGC